AACCCAAACTAACTACTTAAAGTGTCAGTCAGTGGTTATGATCCAGGACACTCGACATTTATGGACATTTATGGACATTACTCATCTGCCCCTTATGGACCAATGGCTTTATGTGTTTTGATCTTTGCATTTCTCTGATATGTGTTGGCGAATCGGCTATTTTATAAAGTCCTCCAAGATAACTACTGTTGGGATTTAGAGCTGTACAAAATGTTATTGAATTGGATTGAATTAATAGTTAGTCAGATGTTGAATAAGGCCATGTAGAATTTAGACTAATATGTTCCAATTAAGTAACCAATTAAGAGTTAATTAACCATAAATTATACATGACTTAGCACTTCATTTGCTGTTAATTCGTGATGGCTAAATTAAAGTGTGTCCCAAAATTCTGAATTGGAATTTTCTTCTTAAACTAAAAGACAAGTGAAGGCAAAATGGGCATGACTCAACGACAAAGAAAAAGACCATTTTTATTGAGCGATCGTAATCATTGAATTAAAAGCAGTCGTTATAAGAGTGGGAATGACCAGTACAAATTCCCGGTAAAAGAAACAGCTCAGAGTTGGGACTAAGGAAAAAACAGACTGAGATCACTTCAGTTTGAGCCAAAGACTGAGTCAGAGGTGCAGCATCGCGCTCCACACAAACCAACTATAAACTCACACAAACGCGCAGATAAGAGCGATTAGAGCGAGACCGAGAGACTGAGGAGCAGACAGAGTCCAGGCGAATGTGGGCCGACCGCTCTGTCAAACACTCACACATCACGTCAGACTTTACACTGCAAAATGTGATGAAAAATAAGTCAAATAGTGCTCAAATTTTGCTAAATGTTTCCTAATTTGAGCACATTTTGACAGCCTTGAAGATTTGACAATGGGACAAAGCAAAATGAGCTTGTTTTAAAAAGATAGAAGAAATGTCTCCCTTTGAATGAGAAGATAAAGCAACAGCCAATTTTTTTTGCAGTGTACAGGCAACACAACGTGCCTCCGAGGCTTTAAAGGTGATCTCAGAAACTTAATCTATATTTCATTTTTATAAGATTGAATACTGTAGTTCTGACCATGGAAGACTGTAATATTTTGTACAGGAAGTATTTGCAGAGATCAAATACCAAAATCAATTGAATCATCAAACAATCTATTTCAAGGTTTCATGCTGATCATATGGTGCTAATGTAAAAAGGAAAAGTCAAACTGATTAAAGAATATGAATATTTACCAGCTGAAAAGCACTAAACCAGGCTGTTTGTGTGTATAATTTGAGTTTTAATGAATGAGCGAGAATGGAGCTTCGTTCAACCCCTTTTCAAAATGTATCTACAAAGCTTTTCGTATTCCACTTTGCTTGAATTTTGTGTGAAATGTTACATACAAGGTTTGGATCTATATATTCCAAACCCATCAATGAGAAATTATTTCAAATTGACAATCAAAATGTCCTGGATTCCTTTTGGACACTAGCCACCAACAACATGACTGTAGCACATGATTATTAACACATGAGATCAATTCGTATTTTTAATGTCAGAAGAAATAACTATTTGAATATGAATTGTCCCTATGTGGTTGAATCGAGTCTACATAATGTGAGAAAGTCCTGTTTATTTTATTTTTTCTGTACATTCATAACATTTTCATCACAAACTGCTTCCTGATTGATACAAAAATATATATACTTTTATTGTTAAAAAGTGATCCTACCAAATAAATACAAAATGATCAAATTCTTTTAATGCACGTCTTCTGCAGAATGCGATGACTTATGTAATGCAGTTAGATTCCGGTTAGCCAAATGGTAGGTCGCAAGGCTATTTTTATAATTTTCTGGCGATGTTTTTCAAACTTGAGAGAAATTATTCATGTCCGAGCTACAATTTTAATGTTGTAGAGATATTACATTAGATAAGGCTTCCCGATTGGTCGAAATTCAATAACATTCTTGAGGCCTCTTGTCATTGGTGTAGCTCAGTGTCTCCCAAAGTGGGGTCCGCGGCCCCCTGGTGGGCCGCGAGGGTACTGCAGGGGGGCCGCGGGAGGTCATAAAAAAAAAAAATATATATATATATATATAATTATTTAATGTTAAATTTATAATGTTTTGTTTGTAATATTAAAATATTTGTGTTCATTATTTGACTTGAATAATCCACTGTAATAATTTTTGTATTACAATGTTTGTAGCAGAGGCTATTTCCCCAAAATAAAATAACCAGAAGAGCCTATTCTTAATGTTGTCTTCTTGGTTATTATTTTGGGGGGCCACGCAGACCCTTCAGATTTTTAAGGGGGCCTCGGTGTTACTGAGTTTGGGAATGGCTGGTGTAGCTAATCGTAATGGTAGTAAATGTGCCCATGCAGGGGAAAGACCGTTTCCAAAACATTATTGTAGAAAAATCCTTATTGTACACACTAGCAGTGTCTAATATTCGGAAACATATAACCTATAATATAATATTATTTAAGTTGCTGACATGATCTTTAATGAAAATAAGACAACTGTTATTTGTCCCAAAGTGGGGAAACTACAGTGCTATACAGGACGGTACAAAGAGCACACAAGGAGCACACTGAATTAGCCCTAATACTTCTTAACAAGCTGTACATTCTTTATAATAAATGATAATGAGGAACATTATAATCAAAGGCCTGCAGTTGTACAGTTTCGTCCAAAACTAAATCGATGGCATTATTTTAGCTTTAAAAAGGCAGAAAACTGCTCTAATCATGGGGTCATAGTCTGAGGATTTGTCATTGTGTAATCAGTTTGAAAAGTGCAGCATTTGTACAGAAGGGGCGAGGGAAAGTGTCGATGGATCAGCTTAAAAACTACTCCATCTATGAGCGAACAATGCAGTAAGGTTAAACACTTGGGAAGTATTTCAGGACTGAGTATTGTGGTACATATTCACTATTCAAATGAACCCTTGACCAAGTTTACATTCTCATCCATTTTTAGCTTGTTTACCGTCTGAACTCAAACACCAAAACATGATTTAAGAGCTTTCCCTGTTGTGTACAAACAGTGTTTCTATATTGACAGACCGCAAAAGCCTTAGGCACAAACTGAATCACAGTAAAAACAAGTGACCGGCCTCGCGCACTGGGACCATGCACTACACACTTAAAGACAGGCAGCCCTGATGACCCTGGATCTCACACAGGCCTCAACTCCCCTCACCCCATTTCATAATTTAAAGCCTACAAAAATAGGAAGCCTTTTTTGCTATTTTGTTTTTCATCAACCATCCACAACTGTGCGATAACTTTGTTCTGTAATGTACACATGTTGTTGACTTATTTACTTGATCCAATTTTGTCCTTCCTCACATTCGGACAGCAGATATACAATTATTTCTCCTTTTTGGTTCCTTATCCGGGTAGGGTGGGTATGCGATTTTGTCTGTTTGTACTTTTTCCATGTGTACCTTTGTAAAAAAAAACGGTATGAACTGTAATAAACATAACAAACACAAAAATATTTGTTTCTGACCATGGGACATTGCACTATTATCTACAGGAAGTATAGTAGTGTTTGGAGTGAATTGGATGAGATGGGAAGGAGCTTGGTTCAACAACTTTTCAAAATGTATTCATAAAGTTTATATTATGCTTTGTTTTCTTCATTCTTTGTGCGAAATGTGCGTAAATTTGGAATCACAAACAGAATCACAGCAAAAACAAGTGACCGGCCTCACACACTGGGACCATGCACTGCACACTTAGAGACTTACAGAGAGGCAGCCTGAATGACCCTGGATTTCACACAGGCCTCAGCTCCCCTCACCCCGTTTCTAAAGAGTCGCATTTCAATCATTTAAAGCCCCCCAAACAGAGGCGGCTAATTATGGCGTCTGCATAACTTCGACCCAGCGAGTATTTTCCGTGCCAAGCCTACACCCAGCTACCTGACCCAATTCCTCCCTCTCCACGCTATTTGTCTCTGCGTGTCCACATCCAATGCATTCAGGACTATAAACAGAATTTTGATCGGCTTTCACACTTGGATAACGAACCTTTCCTTCCACGGTCAAACATGTCTATTGCTCCTGTGCACGCTGGCCAGAGCATGAAAGCAGTAGGACAAGTTTATATACTGTTGTCAAAGAAAGTCATTACAGAAAACTGACAGAAGGTTCTTTCATGATTTTTGTGTCAGACAGCATCACATGTTTGGATGCATTCTCCGTTACACTGAAGCTTCTCCAGTTGAGTTTATAATGACGGCATACATTATTACTTTTATTGAGGAGTGAGCATGAAGTTGGATTACCTGATCACTGTAGGAGAATGCATTTTAGCCCAATCACAGAATCAGTTTCTATTCAATGTATGGGTAGATTAAGTATAGAAGTATAGTTTGTGTTGAATAGTTTGCCCATTTCCAAATGTAATTAGACACATACTTTAATGTTTTTTTCAAACTGTGGGCTGGGTTACATCGTTTTCCATTTCAGGGACATACAACTAAAACTATACATTCTTATGCTTGAAAGTTATTTGCCGTTTACTGAGCAAATGGCTAATGGAAGGTGTCTTTGATACATGTGTTCTTTGTTTCGCAATTTTTCTCTTAAATACCAAACAATTGTAAGATAGCATTGTTACTGTAAGTAGTAAATCATACAAAAAGTGGCAAATGTAACTTTTACTTAATAAAATATATACTGCGATTCAAGACTTAAAGTTCATTCATTGTAAGAATTCCACAACAACTCACAACAATCGCACAACAAATCACTTTGAATGGTCCGTGAACTGTGCTATATAAATAAAGACTACATTAATATAATGATGATATAAAAGGTTTTATAATCAAAGGGAAAAAAAGTTTCCTATTTTTTCTTATGACATTATAAAATTCCATTTGAAATCTTAGTGCAACAACTGTCAGCTGCAATCACTCCATAAAAAGCATTGAGAGTAAATGGCTTTGACTTGTGTTTTATGGAGAATAAGTGCCTCCTAAAATAAGAGTAAGAGTTCATAGCATACCTCAACAGCTGTGTCTGATTCAGGACGGAGCAATGCATCAGGAGATTCATGTTCCTCTTCAGAGCTGTGTCCCGATTCAGGGAGGGGATCTTTCAAACAAGGTGTGGTATCCTTTTGGGACTCCTCTTCCTCTTGGGGAGTCAGCACTGGAGTTTCAATGCTCTCAGAAAACAGATTGTAGAGTAATCCTGGTTCGATATTGTCCCAAACTGGTTCTGTGTTGAAGAAGGGAAAATCCAAAGTAGATCCTTCAGACTCCCAATCACTGTCCCCTTCCACGGAACCCAACACAAAATCCACTCCAGAATGCGTCCCTTCGGAAAAAGAGTCCAAATCGCGATCCGGGACGTCTTCGCAAGCGGATCCAACGTCCGACTGGCCTGGCTGCGGGCGCTCAGGTGCGGCCATGTAGACAAAGCTGTCCGGAGAGAGGAGAGGGCCATCTTGCTCCTCTGTGTTGAGCAAAGGTTTGGAGATGGGACTGGGAGGAACCGAGTCGTCCAGAGGGGAGGGAGGACAGTCGTGAGGCGATTGAGGAGGCACTGAAACCGCCAGGTAAACGAAACTATCCGAAACTACGAAAGCTTCAGAGGAGTCTTTGGAGTTCAAGGCAGCACCGACTAAATCAGAGTTAGAATCAGGCGACGAATGGCATATAGGGAGTACACATTGTGGGCTATTGAGAGAGCTCTCTTGAGAAACGCTCGCTAACACTTCATCTAAAGAATTTGACGCATCTCCTGTTTCGAGTGCATTGGATGTATTTTCTGTGTCACACATTTCTACTGGGATATCATCACCTAAAGTTTGTGTCTCAACTTCCTCCTCATCAACCTCATTGGACTGAGCCGTAGAAAAGGCTTCCTCACCGTCCAAATTTGGCTCAGAATGGTCACAATTAACAATTTCCTCCTGCTCAAATTCCTGCTCTATATCGTAAGGGTTGAGAGGGCTACAGGACGCCCTATCGCCTACATCGCCGTGCTCAGATGACGCCCCGCTATCAAGGTCGGTTTCTGTTTGTGCGAGTTTATCTCCTTCACTGTCAATTTTCATAACTTCTGTCACGTCTGGTTGTGAGTCTGACTCCAGCTGTTGCCCCAATGCAGAATCCGTTGGGTAACTTGGCGCCTCCTCGTCTTCCATCGGACCCTTTTCAAATTCATTTTCACTGTCGTCAATTATGCTATGCTCATTTTCACAGTCTTGGGTTCGCTTCAGGTCGAAATCTTCTATGATCTCGTCCGTGGGCTCATTTGGCATCATGTTATTTGTAATCATTTCAACTTCTAATTCTACTTCATCTATGGGTAGAGTTCCTTCAAAATCCACAGTGTTTTCATCTTCTAAACATGGATCCTTGTAGGGATCAATGGGTTCGGGGTCTACACACATTTCAACCCCTTCTTCATAAGGGTCATCATATTCACATTGCCGTTCTAATTGGAGGAAAAGGTCATCAGATTCTGCCTCGGAGCTGGGGCAAGGAGAGGTCGACCTTGCCTCGGGGCCACCAAATTCGGTCGGAGGGGTCAACAGCGGCCAATGTCCCGAGGAGCTAGCCAAATCCCATTCATCTGATTCCAGCGTCTCTTTGTCCCAACACTGATCTATAATTTCCTTATTTTCAAGTTTGAGCATTGCCTCCCACTCCCTCTCCTCTCTTTGGGCTAGTTCCTCCTCTTCTGTCAGCATACCACAGGCTTCGTCTAGTTTATCTTCTTCATCGTCGTCTTCTTCAAGCTCTGCAAGTATCCTTCGCTCATCCTCTTCAAATTTAAGTTCAGAGGCTGTGCGCTCCCTGAGTTGATTGGTGTCCCATCCCAAAAGGCCCTCATCTAAGCCTTCGTGACTAACACAGGGGGACAGAGGCAGCCCACTGTAAACTAATCCTTCTTCTTTTAAAAACGGAGAAGGTGGGTCTAGCAAATATAGCAATTCTTCATCTGTATTGCCATCTTCACTTATAAGAGGTGGCAGAGGCGGCAGGACGGGGAAGTTGTGTCTGAGCCCAATTTGAGATTTCTTCCCTGTTGAAAAGCTGCGAGGCCAGGTGCGTGACTTGGTGGGGGGGCAGAACACTGGTTTGGGAGGGATAAGGGGGGCATTGTCAGCTTGGTCCTGATCCAAAAAGGGGGAGTCCCGTTCTGAATCGGATGTCTTTATCGACTCCGCTGGCTCCTCTGGGATTTGTATAATTGCTGGTTTAGTGGAGCTTGTAGTCCGTCTATGCGCTGGTCTGGACGCGCCGTGGCTTTGCTGTGCAGGGGTCTCTGAAACCCCCCTCTTTTTGGGCGAATCTTTGGGAGAGGATGGCAGTGCAATAATGGGGTGTCTGTGTTGCTTTTGCAGCATAGGATGAACTGTTTTTTGCTTGACAGGCTGCGAAGAAGGAGGCACAGGGCTGACGGAAGGAGAGTAGACGGAAGGAGAGTAGACAGGAGGAGTGCGGGGGGCAGATGACAGCGGGGAAGGTGTGTGTGGAGGGATAGACGGCGTTGACGAGGTTGGCGTTGACGGGACGGGGTGAGAGGAGACGTTTTGGATGGGCGATAAAGGAATCCCAGGTCCCGACTGTCTCCTCTCTGCGTCGGCCGAAAACTCAAACCTCTCTGCGAATTCGGGGTAACTTGGGGGCATGAAGGCTTTCCATGACCTGCGATTTGGGTTATCCTTTTTGTCGCTTCCCTGGAGACGCCTTTTAGCAACAGCTGCCACGACACCTGAGCTGGATGAGGGAGTGATGGGCAAACCTGGTCCGATTATCCCAACAGGAGGCGACATTATTTGTGGGTCCCCAGTCAGTTTTAAGGCATCAAATATCACCCTCTCATCAAGTCTCTTAACACCACCTGGATGCTCTGTGCTTCTCGATACAAAAACACTCCCAATGTCTACTCCAATTGTCCCATTACTGGATATTGTACTCCCCTCTCCCCGCGGTTCGCCCCCAGACCCCAAAGTGCTCCGGGATTGTTGACAAAGTTTGGTCCCTTGGTCGATTTGTTCATTAATCCGCATTGTGTCATAAATGGATCTTTGGGGAACATAGCAGTCCTCGATATAAGCCTCCTCCTCGTCCCCTTTCCCCAGGCAGCGTGGGTTCTGCCTCAAGCAGTCGGGCCGGCTCAGGGGTTTTCCCATTGTGTCGTTTTAAATGTGCCACAGCAATCCCTCACTGCGACACGACAATTACAGTGAGAACACGTTTATAGAAATGCCTCCATGTGGAAAAGTCATTCACTTACATTCAAAAGTTCAGTAAAAATCCAATATGTCCATTTGGGATTTCACATCCTATGACACATAATCCATACAAAGCTGGAGAGTCTTCATTCATTCCTAGCTATGTCACTTCAACAGTTGTGCATTTCTCCAGTGGCTTTGTGATGCAGTGTGGCATCGGAGCGGGACGGAGTGTCAGTGTCCTTCCCCTCGGCACCATATTAATCACTAGTCCTGTTTGTTTAAAAGGCTATTAGGAAGGAGGGAGAGGTGCAGAGGTAAGCGCTGGACGAAATCGCAGGAGCCCCTGTCCCGAAAGTCCAAAGTCCAAGGTGAGGTGAGAGCCATAGAGATAACATCCCTTTGTCTCGCTGTCAAAAACTAAGCCCACCTAGTTTAAACTTTCATCCCTGGTTCATGCTCCTTCTGCTCCCTCTCTGAAGCAGCCGCTGTGTAGATGACAGTGAGAGGCAGGCAAGTGTAAAAGTCTCCTTTTAAGGTGAGAAAACCCACTCTTGTTATATAAAAGATGATCTGCGTGGGGTGGAATAAACATGATCGTGCAATACTCCACAGACTGGTTCAACTTCCATCTTTCAAATAATCCTTCTCAGCAAAAGATAATGGTATAAAAGCGTATAAAAAATCCCTTTGAGATCTAGAGGCAGCTTCTGAACGCTATAAACAAGACTTGGCACTTATTGTCTTTAATCCATCCTTAGCAATTAAGAGATTAGTCCTTCACCATTCAATGTTAAATCCAAATGAACTTCCTCTCATTGCAACAGTCCGGTTTCATAGCACTGGCAAACAAAAGGAGTCCACTTCAGAGTAGCAATCCTGTCAGTGTGTTTTAATACCCCACTTTCATCTCTTGCTCCAGGGGTGAGCGGTGCTACTGTAGACCGGCGGCGGCGGCAGGCTGAGCTGAAAGCAGGGCATGTGGGGTGTAGATGATGGAAAAAAGGAGGAGTTGACGGCAGCAGACAGGGGGTTGAATCCCAGGGCAAAGCAGAGAGCAGCAAGTCTTGGGAGAGTATCCAGAGGGCATAGACCCAGACAGGCACATGAAAACAAACCCAGGATGTGCTACTTTCTCTAGTCTTCAGATGTAAACAAAGTGCCACGCAAGACCGTTCTTCAGTCCAATCTTTTTTGCTTTCTCTCAAGTCTCCTCCAGCCAAGCCACACTCTATACTCTACTCTACACACAACTGAAATGGTTTGCAGCTGCTAAAAAAATCCTTTCCTGCTTTCACACTGGTGCGGCCCCCTCCCTTCTCCTCCCTGTTGTCCCTCCCTCACGTCTCCCTCTCTCTCACTCTCAGTTTGTCTCGCTGTTTGTTTTTGAATCCTGCTTCGCTTTTCTCTTGCTTCCTGCACTCGGGTTTAAAACACAGGAAGTGCTCCAATCGTGCCGGCTTCCTCTCCCATGGAAAAAAGATGAAGAGAACGTAATTTTTGCAGGGTGTAGATAGAGAGAGGGGGCTGGCATGTGTGATTGAGATGGGGGTGTGGAGCTGGAGCAGTGCAGAGGAGGATTTTTGTTTAAAAGAAACGTGAGTTAGGATAGAGTTGATCGGCCCACGCTGTGCAGCAGGCAGCGGTCCATCAAAACGCCTCCCTCCGAAAAAAAAAAAATCACGAACAATGAGGTTGGGACTGAAATACCTATACAGCCCAGAAATACTAAATGTGATACTTTTAACAGGTTGACAGCATTATGCCACAAATGTCTGCTACTCTTCTTCTTACACATTTATTAACAAAGTTACAAAAGCCGTGATCGGCATTCAGTGGATACAACAACATCAGGTGGAAAGTAGCTGGTGCCATCCGGTGCAGCCATCTTTTTAATGCAACTGCACATTGTCCCTAATAAATTAAACTTAAACTCCATAAAACAAAACGTAAATTGGGTTATGAAAAAAGAAGTAATAGTAAGAAAAGTAATTTCCATTCAAATGTTTTGGTATTAAAACGCTTAATCTAAAAACATTTTACAGCACTCCTGTCTATGTTTATATAAGTACAATATCGGTCTCTGCTTTCCACAGCATTTACTCAGCAGCACATTATCAAACTTGCAGCAGAGTAGAACGTCTACCCTCATCACAGCTTTGTAATCCACCTTAAATCTCTGAGGGCCCTTTGCCTCCCAGCTTTTTACCAGTACAAAAACGTTGTCCGCCGAGAGCGAAATGATATTCAAAGAAACGCAGAGAAAAGGGGGAGTCTGTGGAGACAGAGGGGCGGGACAACTCACTGACAGCAGAAAGAGGCTTATCAGTAATGAGAGCAGAATTTTATTCTTTCCCCTAAAGCAATAGTCCGACTAGACAACCACTGCGTCTGTGTGGAATCACTCTTTGTCTAGTGCTGCCGTTTCCCAAACTGCAGTCTGTAGGTATTTGTAGATTTGACTTCCTAATTAGAGGTTATTAACCCAAGGCAAATTGTAAAAAGGAGGTCATAGGACATATTTTACAAGAGCCATATGAGAATGCGTCAAGACCATTTGAGTTATTGCTTTCCCACTGGTGTTGAACTGGTTTGCTCCCAATACACTTGAGAGAATATATGGTATTGGTTTTGCTAAAGCAGCTCAGCGTGTGTCTCTCCATGGCCTCACGACAAAGTATATTCAAGACATGTTCAGAATCAGAATCATTTTTATTGCCACGTAAGTAACAGGACTTGGAAATTGCTTTGGCTCAGAGCTCTTGCGGCACCATGTTAATGCTGTATGAACCAACTCGGACTCTGAGGAGCACAGGGACTGGCCTCCTGCTGGGACTTCAGATTTATGGATCTAAAATCTGCAAAAGTCTCCCTGAAAATGTGAGACAGGCTTCCTTTATGATAATGTTCAAATCCAGGTTAAATCCAGTTCTGTTTAGCTGTGCATACAACTGAAAGGATTGTATCTCGACTTTTTTTTAACTTTAGTGACATTATTTATCATGTTAATGGCTTGTTCCTACCTTGTTTTGTTCAGAACTTTGAGTTGCCTTGCGTATGACCTGCGCTATAAAAATAAACTTGCCAGGCCATGGTAGCAATTAGCAACTCGGAAATTTGTTTGAGAACGACTGGTCTAGCTTTAACAGCTCAAGCCAACGCAGAATAAGGCGTTGGACACAAAGCCTACGGAGGTATTCAGAGAGTCCACTTGTGTGTAGCACTGAAACACTATCCAGGCTCCAGACTAGAGCGTATGTGAGAGAGCAAGGGGCCACGAGGAAAAGGGGCCAGGCACAAAAAAACCTGTAAAAGGAGGCCAGCGGGTGGTGGGGTGCAGCGAGAGTACTCCTGTCTGTCTCTCTGGGGTGTCCCACAAACTTCAACACAGCCATTAGTCAACGCACAAGAGTCATGCAATCTCTTTAACCCTCATGGAAGAATGTGGGTATTGTAAAGAGGCCTGGAGTGGTCTCAACCTGGGGGTATCATCGTGACCGAGGGGATTTGTCCGAGATGGCTTTGTTGTTGCTAGTCCTAGTAGAAAGATTTAAAAAACATTTGTGGACTAAAAATGGGGTTTGAACAAGATTGATCTAGTATCTTATCTAGACACAAACTGGAGAGACAGGCTTCTATCACTATGATGGGTGAACAACATTTAAATGCACTTGTTTAATGGTATGGCATTGAATTTGCTTGATGTTGAGAAGAAAATGAAATGAGGTAGTATTTTGTGTACAAAGATGAAATAAAACAGGATACATAAATATAAACAGCAATGCAGTTTGAACAGGGGCTGGACGACGCAGATGATTATTCAGTTCAAAGCCCTCTCACATACACAAAGAAACACACAAATACATAGACACACACATGCATAGACACACAGAAACACAGAGAGAAAAATTGACACACACAGAGACACAGACACACACAGACAGATAGACACACAGAGAGACACAGAGAGAAACAGAGACACGCACACCCACAAACACACAAATCAAAATATTGGCTTTTCACAATAACTATTTAACAGAACTGACAATGTTTAAGTCTTTACAACACAGTATTAGTAAAAATAGAAGGGTTAATGTGATAAAAGTTTATAGGCTAATGCATTATTAAACTGTTATAGTAAGTTATAAGGACGCTGTGTGCTGTCACTGTCAGCATGTAATTACAAGGCGGTAAGATTGAACCAATAAGTACGCCTGGTTCAAACTCCCTTCTGGTCTCTGCGTCCCAGGAAACACTCATTCTCACCGCAGTGTATAATTTGAACGTGTTATAAAAGTGCTAAATTACTTTGCTGCAAGCGGTTTCAAAGGGACTGGTTAAGATCGCAAAAAATACAGTCAAATGGGTTGCATTTCTGGTTCAAAGTTATGTGAGTAACTTTTAGAATTACATACTTATTTGTTTATCCATCTACACTATGTACTGTATCTATCAATGTATCTATCTATCTGTACATGTATCTATCTGTCCATTTGTCTATCTAAGTGTACGTGTCTATCTTTATTTGGTTGTATTTTGTACTTGAAGTTGTTTATGCCTCAGATAACCCACAACAAACTTTAACCACTTCCACGCCTCCCTCCCTTACACCCCTTTAGTTTTATTTCCCCTGCCTTGCTCAATGTTTGGTTTGTTGAAATCTAGCACTAGCCTTATCTGAATCTCCCAACACTCAACAAGAGAATCAGGCTCTTTCTCAACTGTTGCGCCGCTCCGTCGTGGCCTGCATGTCAAATATGTTAAATACTCCACTCTTTCTTCAACCCCCCACCTCTGCCTCCCCCCCACCCCCACCCTCACCCTCTCTGTCAGTTGTGCTGCAGCTGTCAGTGCGGCGTCCAAAGCAAACGACTCAATTGAAACAAAAGAGGTTTGTCACTGGGACCGTGCATGCGTCCTCCCACTCGCATGTGCTGGCCTAACCGACCACCACAACA